ATCAATCGCACAGCGAGAAAACACATTTACCCAGAGCGCCGAACGATTCCACACCGACCACCCGGACCACCAGCACAACCAAGCGGGAGAAAAAAATATACAAGACAGGCGCAAGGCGCGCTTTCGTTCCGTTCGTGCGAATTTAAAAATAGAAAAATGAGTAGATATTTATCCTAATTTAGAAAATTGGGTAGGTATTTTTTAATTGAAGTTTCTTTTCTTTCCAAAATTTTAATTTTATTTTCTTGCTTGGTTTTTGGAGGCAGTGCGCGCGCACGAGCGCACTTATTGAGAAGCCGCCCCTGAACAGGTACTAAAAATATATTTTTTGAGTTTCTCTCAAAGCCACCAAACACCCATTGTCCCTCTAAAACTCTGCCTCGATTATATTTTCTTTTTCCGAATTTAGCTTCGTCTATCTCAACTACACATCCAGGTCCACCCAGTTTTTCAGATTTTTCTGTACACCACCGTACAAACTTCCCTACAAAAGGAAGCCCAATCCACAGCCGTTCTTGTACTACATTTAATTTCATTCATTATAATCTTTTGTCGTGGATGGGGCAAAATATACCAAAGAGCCGTGAAGTAGCCAACATCTTGAACACTCAATTTACTTTTGTCAAACCAAGTGTTTTTCTTTGCAGTTTTTTCAAAAGAACAAGGAATACTGCCTTTCTTTATCACCGTCTTAACTCTAAAATTTTAATAATTCAAATAATAATAAAGCATGAAACAAACACACAGAACCCACCTTTGAGTGCATCGATGAGTAAATCGTACAATGTTTAGTTTAGCAACACCTCCACATTTTTCACAGGGTATTTCACCCTTAATCAAACCATGATTCGCCAGAAAATTAATGTAATTTAAATTATTTGATTGCAATCTCACAAAATCTCTTAAATTACAACCTACACATACACAAGCCATAATTTTCAAAAATTTAAATACAAACAAACTGCATAGAAACCACAAACTGATGTCAAATTGCTTTAAACAGCGTCAGGCAACGTCAGTATAAAAAGCTCACTATGACTTTATGTAACAATTGCTGTTAAACATTTTTTATGATATCGGGTCTTCAAAAAAAAAAACAATCAAAGATTGCTATGGTTTTTTGAACGTATGTCTTAGCAATATTTGTCTTTAATTTTATCAATGAAATTTAATGTCAAAATGTCATGTCAAAAATCCTGACGAATAAAGAAACAGTAATGCGACGTATTGTTCATCGATTTTTAACTGATACTTGCGGTATGAGGAGCGAGGGGTTGTTTCATATGGCAAAAACAGGTGTGACGTCAGGTAACCATTGGCGTTCTAATGTAAGGGAGCCACCAGCTCACATTCCGTCCGAGTATCAGTTTAAAATCGACGAACAATACGTTTTCGTAGTCAAAGCAATCTTCGATTGTTTTTTTTTTTGAAGACCCGATATTTTGAATTGTAAACATTTCTTCACTGAGCTCTATCTCTAACAGTAAAGATGCTCTTGACGAGCTAGCCCGTTAATCAAACTGATGCAAACTAAACCAAATTAACCTGTCCAAGTAATGCGTGCTATGCTTCGACATCATATCAATGTAAGGTGTTGGGGATATATTAAATATTTAGTTAGGGGTAGTAATTTAATTTCAATTTCAATTTCAATTTCAAATAAGCTTTATTGTCTCAATTTAAAAAAAAATTATTGACAAAGCAGTTTCTAAACTAAAAAATATCAAAATTCAACAAAAATATCAAAAACATAGAAATGAACAATTGTACAAAGGTTAAAATAAAAATAAAAATAAAAATAAAAATAAAAATAAAAATAAAAATAAAAATAAAAATAAAAATAAAAAAAAAATAAAAATAAAAATAAAAAAATAAAAATAAAAATAAAAATAAAAATAAAAATAAAAATAAAAATAAAAATAAAAATAAAAATAAAAATAAAAATAAAAAAAAAATAAAAATAAAAATAAAAATAAAAATAACAGTAAGAATAAAAATAGAAATAAAAACAAAGACAAGAGAAGCCAACAATCAGAGGGAGCCGACACCACATTAAAGTATGTCGTTAAAGTATTCTTCAATGTCATAATAGGCCTTCCCCTCCAGCAATTTTACAATACCTCTACGAAATAATTTTGCATTCGATATCTCTTTCAAGTCGGTTGGTAGATGATTATATATTTTAAGGCTTTCGTAAATTAAAGAATTTTTGGTCAAACTAGATCTGGGAACTGGTAGAGGGAGCCTGCCCGACTGCCTTGTTGTACGGACTCCAGATACCACCCCTCCATACTTTTTATGAACCAAACAAACAGTTTCCAAAATAAATAAACAAGTTAACGTTAAAATTTTTGAAGAAAGAAACAGGGGACGGCAATGTTCACGTTGTTTTTTATTATGAAGATAACGGATGGCACGCTTTTGAAGAACGAATGCTGAGTGAAAGGCGTAACCTGGGCAAAACCCCCAAAAGGCCACCCCATAACGTAAAACAGAGTCCACCAGGGAGAAATACACCATTCTTGCCAGTGAATACCCCAACTCTGAAGTAGTCATTCTCACAGCAAAGCAGGCAGAAGCCAGTCGAGCTTTCAATCGCTCTATGTAAATAAATCCCCAACGTATATTTTATATAAACGTTTTTTTTTTTAGATCTATAAATCATTTGCGCCAAATTATTTTAGTATAAATTATCTATTTAGACACTAATTTAATCATATTGTACAATATTTAGTCCAAATTGGGTGTTGGGGAAATACTAAACAATTACCAATTTCAAATTATGTTAATATAAAATTAAATTAAATTTCTGTTAGAACCCAGCTTTAAGGTGGGTTCTAACAGACATTAAATTTAATTAAGCATTCAATATAATTAAATTTAAAAAGTTTACTATACAATACAATATGACGGCGTTCATACAAAATTTTAATTTAAGACATAATATAACTTAATTTAAAAGTTAGCCAACTTTTATCTTTTAAAATTAAATTAAATTAAATTTGAGGTTGATTATTGATTTTCATCAGTTTGACAAGGCAGATGACGGATAATGACATTTTTCTGTATCAGTTAAAAAATTACTGTATGAACGCCACAAAGTAAAATTATATTAAATCTTAAATTATGTTAATATAAAATTTCTGCTAGAACCCAGCTATACATGTATTGAAGTCGTCTCATACCGCCTACTGATAGAAGCCTTGAGCGAAAAATCTTAGAGCACCCAATTCTCTAATTTGAATTGGAATTCTTCCGGCTGTAACTACAGAAGCCATGTGTGGAGTGAGGTCCGTGATCAGCCGCTGGGCGAGATCACTGCTAAGACGGAAACACCTCCGGAATTCCCTTTCGGGCATATGAAAGGCATTATACTCATTTCGCAAGGTTATCCTTTCCAATCTTAATTGTTCTTGACGCTCTTCTTCTTCCGCATCGTCCACAAAATGCATGAATTTCGGGTCCATATGGCTTATATCGATAATAAAAAATAATCATTAACAATGTGATATTGACATTGAGCAGTTGATAACAACTGACAATTTAAAACACCACAGAAATATTGAAACTCTCTAGAAAAGCGCAATGTTTTCAGGCCGGATAGTTTACGATATTTCTATTTCAACTTCACCCGAATCAACTTGGAAAGATGTTTACAGAATTAGTTTTTTATATTTCCTGTCTATGTCTATCTCTTCTCTATGTCTATTTCTATTCGTTTACAGAATACGCCTCCAGAAATCAGGATGTACCGTATTGCAGTTTCCCAGCTGTGTACCGTTTCTGAACGTGACGAAAATTAGATACCTCTATTGAGTTAAGGCTTTTTTTGAACTGGTATTATTGTAGCGAGCTTTAGAGGATCCGGATACTTTCCTTGTTCCAGTGAACTATTCATCAAATTATTCAGGAGTGCTCCAATAGACGGGTATATATTCTTTATCAATGTTACATTTAAGTTATCGGGACTATGTTGTTGTTCAATGACAACAATTATTCTAAACAAAGAATCAGGATCTATTAATTTGATTGAGCCAAAGTCTGCATTATTTTTTGTGAAGTCACTTAAGGTATCCGTATTCTCTGAATCGGGTTTAATTTGTTTTATAATGGAATCTATGCTGTCAACAAAAAATCTGTTTAGTCTTTCGGACAAACTGTTTGTATCCGTTATTATTTCTTTATCATTTTTGCATCGTTTTTCTTTGGAAAAATTTCTCCCAATAAATTCCAGTTGCATTACTCTAGGATCCCGTTTACATCCATCCACTTTTTGTTCATAGTACTTTATTTTCTCTTCTTTGATAGTTTTAGGTACTTGATTTCGCTCGTCTTTGCAATCCTTTATACAATCTATATGCATCTTCACTTTTAAGCAGCTTGTAAAGTATACTTTTATCTCTTAGTTCTGTTGCTTTTTTGACATTTTCATTCCACCATGGTTTATGTCCTGGTAAAATTTTAACCTGTTTTAATGATGCTACACTATTCAAGACCTGATGAACTGTTGCTACAAAGAACTTACACTTGGTGCCAATTAACCAATTTTAGGTTCTCTTTAATTTAATCATAATTTATATTTTTCCCTCTAGTTGAAATAAAATGTGGAATCTTATTTTATAATTGCAAAATTGTAGCATTGACACATATAATATTGATCACTTACTCTGTAACTTGTGTAATGTGCAAAATATAATATCTACAGCATTTCAAATATACAAAAACTAAATGGAAATAAAAATAGTATAATATACCTGTATCTGCCCTCTGATTACTTAGAGGATTTAATAAGATAGTTTTTGTATTCACTATTGTGTAGTATGTGTTATCGTTATTTTTCCGAAACTCACTTATTGTCATTGGTTGCTTTTGCATATGTGATTACAAATAGACAAAATTAATTTAAATATGTAATTATTGTTTGTTACTTACCTCAAAAAAAATTTCATGTAGTGGATACCATTTTTGTATCTCATCAATAAATCAGTCATTATTTTCAGATGTCTTCAAGTTTGACGATGACTACCAAATCAACGAAGGCAAATACAAAATTTTAAGCAAAGAAATTTTACAAAGTGATGGAGAATCGGGATCCGGAGAATCAGGCTCGGAAGAGGATTCAGATGAAGATAGTGACGAAGATGATGAAGAGGAGGAAGAAAAAAAGGACCCAGGCACTATTATTGACAACACTGAGACAAATTTGATAGCACTAAGAAGAACCATTTATTTGACTATTCAATCAAGTTTGGATTTTGAAGAATGTGCACATAAGCTACTGAAAATGGAGCTAAAACCTGGTCAGGAAATTGAGCTTTGTCATATGTTCTTGGGTAAAAAAAAAAAGATTTAGCTGATATAGTGCAAATGTTATGCTTATGTACTTTTTTCACAGATTGCTGCGCCGAACAAAGAACCTATGAAAAATTCTATGGGCTATTAGCCCAAAGATTTTGTCAAATAAATAAAACCTATGTGGAACCGTTTCAACAAATTTTCAAGGACACTTATTCAACAACTCATCGATTGGACGCAAATAGGCTGAGAAATGTGAGCAAATTCTTTGCGCATTTACTTTTCACAGACGCAATAAGTTGGGAATGTTTAGAAGCCATGAAAATGAATGAGGAAGACACTAACAGTTCTAGCAGAATTTTCATTAAAATTTTGTTTCAAGAATTGGCTGAATATATGGGATTGGGAAAGTTGAATCAAAGACTTAAGGATCCGTATGTTAATTTTTTTTTGTAATTAATTTTTTCAATATTCAAGTACAATTTTTTAGGACACTTCAAGGACATTTTGCGGAACTGTTTCCAAGAGATAATCCAAAGAACACTAGGTTTTCAATTAATTTTTTCACCTCAATTGGGTTAGGTGGTTTGACTGATGAATTGAGAGAGCATTTGAAAAATTTGCCAAAGAACATGCCAACAGTGACTAAAGAGGAAAGCAGCTCTAGTTCTTCTTCCAGTTCCAGTGAAGATGGTAGTAGTTCAGGTGATTCAAAATTTTCTTCTATTTGATGTCATTGATTTCAAACCAGTATACAGTTTTTCCATCTACTTGTTTCAAAGACTAATTTGATGTAGATTATTTATTTTACATTTCAATATTTTAGATTCAAGTGAGGAGGAATCGGAAGATGAGAAGACAAAAAAAAAAGATAAACAGAAAATATCCAAATCATCACAAGAAAGACCCAGAGATAAAACACAGAGGACTGGCAGAGATGAAACTAACAAAAGAAGGTCTAGAGAAGATGAAGCAAACTATCGTAAACAATCTAGAAGAAGGGAAGAACGAAATAATTCAGAAGAAAGGGAAAACCGAGAGAGGTCTCGACATAATGACCAAAATAAAGACAGAAGAAGGGATTATGAATGGGTCAAAAGTAGATACGAAGATAATATTGGTCAGTTGAAGGATAGAAGGAGAGCATTTGAAAGACCTAGAGGAAAAGATGATAGAGTAAAAGAAGAAAAAAATAGAAGGTCAAGGTCGAGAGATAGGGTTAGGGTGAAAGATGAGGATGACAGAAGTAAAGACAGGGAGTATCGTCACAGAAGGAATCGTGAAAGGCAACGAAGTTAAAAAGTACTTTTATTTATTATGATGCTATTATTAAAATAAATTTAATTTTTTGAGGTTTAGGATTGAAGAACTTACATGTTATAGAAGCTTATTTATTTTATAATGATGTTTTGTTAAGCAATTTTTACTTTTATCAAGCTTAAGAGAACAGGAACAAGTAATAACCAATAGTGGTGTTATAATGTTTACATAAAACAACCAAATAGTTCTGTGACAAGCTTGATAAGGTTAATTATTTATTGATATGTCGTTCATAAAGAGGATTCGAACATGCTAGTCCTTTGATTGCCAGTAAACCCAACAACAATAAACTAAAATTTAAACCATAATATAATATGGATGTGCTGTAATTGTTGTAAATAAAAAAATATAGAATTGGTATAAATTTGAGATTGGTCTTTCTTTCAGGAAACTCACAGCCATAGTTGCAAAATCCTTGGACAAATGGAACCGAGTGCACTCTGCACTTGTTTCCTTTTTAAATGGTTCCTAAGATTACTTCTTTTCTACCTCTTCAACAAGTTTTACAAGTCACTACAAAAATTGTAAAACAAATCCTCATGCTACCAACACTTTCAGTCTCTTGACGATTATTCACTAACAAGTAACGTACTGGTCAATGAACAGTAGCGCTGTATCACAGTTTGCTGTATACGAAATTCGATTTGAATACACATGCTGAAGGACTGTGGACTTGCAAAAGATGAGTGATTTTGGTTTCATTTCAGTTACATACCAGTAGTTGTGTGTGCAACGGGCCTTAGTTTATGGGTCAGCTTCTTTTTCAATAGTCTCTTTTCAAGGATCTATCAATAAAATTATTCAAGGTTTTCTTTAAGAAAGAATTCAGCCGGAGGAAGAGTTTTAACAGACTCTTTTGGCCTTTAATAGGTAATGGGTCTCAAAACTCCTCAAATTTTTTTAGTTATTAGGTGGGTTCGGCTTGCTCACTCCGAGTGACTCCATTCGCACTGCAGCCGTTCGGGTATTTCTTTTTACAGTATTAGGGGTGACTCCATTAGCTCTGTTCACTCCACTCCAACTCCGCGCTGAATAGCTGAACCCAGCTTTAGTTTGTTTTATTGACGGCCTATGCCATTCACAAATGATTTCTTAAGATTGGGCCGATGAACCTCGCTTAAGTTTCTTGGAGCTTTTTTATTTATTTGTTTCACTACAGAATCTACAACAAATTTCCATTTACAGGCACATCTCAACAATCTAATCAAACCTTAAATCTAAAAGCACAAAATGAGTATATTATGGTCCTCATGAAAAATTATGTAGCCATTAGCAGTTGGCCGGTTCCTGAGACTCAGGCTATTGTTTTAGTGAAAGCCTTTAAATTAAGCAGGTCCAAGTCTAGGTCGTTGGCAAAAATATTAAAAAGCTTATACATACTATATACATAGGAGACGCCTTGAGTTTAGGGAAAATAGAATACCTTCATGTCTCAGGTGCCACCCACATTTATGGCAGATGGTAGCTTTGCAAGGAAATCTGGGCAATCTACTTGGTTTTTAAGGATTTTGAGCATATAGGTGAGATTTTTTTATCTGCTATTTCCTAGAGACAGCCTATTGAAAAGTTTTAGCCGGGTGCAGTGACTATATCCTTATGAAGGATAGTACCAGTACCCATATCTTTTAAAGAACATGTTCCAGGAATTTCCTCTGAATTCTTGCCAATGACTTGCCCTCATATAGAGGACAGGTGACCAGATAATGCTTGAATTATTGCATATTCCAGTTTGGGCAGCAGGCAGCACCAGACTGTCAAACAATCTTAGGCAGACCTCCACTTGAAAAGCCTTAGCAGTTCTAGTTCTGGGCTGGGATTCTGTAACGAATAGCGATATTTTCGCTATATCTATTGAAGTCCTCACTCTATTGATTTCGAAAAGAGAGACGAAGACAGCAAGTGCCATAGCGATATCGATAACGATCTCTAATCGTTACAGAATTCCGCATCTGATGATAAATCCCATCGTCCTGTGTGCCTTGCCTTTGTGCCTCAATAATTTGGCTTACAATATGTTCTTAAAGCCTAGCTTTTCATCCAACAGGAGAAAGAAAACAAAATACTAGGATCAAGTGCTGCCCAATGAAAAGTTGAACTGCAGAACCCAATAGTTATTTATGCACCTAGGTCAAAAAGTACAGCTTTAACGCCCGCAGCGTGTGTAACAGCCTGAGGCGTTAGCCGAGGGCTGTTTATACGCTGAGGGCGTTGAAGCTCTTTTTGACCGAGGTGCATACAAGATTTTATGCACGATGAGCATGTTTTCATTTTGATATTTGAAAAATAATATATTTTTAATTTTATAATGACATCAATCAAAAATATTTCAAAATATAATTTTTCATGTTCACCGCATAATAACTCAAGTTTTTGTCACATTATGATCAAGAAAGCAGTTAATGACAAAAGTATCACGTAACTATTATAGCAACCCAGAACAATACAAACAGATAATTATTTTATTTGCAACCATATTGTAATCTTGACATTACTGACTTTCTAAAAATTTGGAAGTGTCACTTTACCTGTGTCACTTTCCTCTTCGATTTCCCTCACCGATTTCCCTATTCGACTTCCCTCACCGATTTCCCTCACTATAATTTATTTACCTTTGCTGGCAACAATGAGAACATGTCAGGTAAAAACGTCAAAACAGTGAAGGACACATTTTGGCATGTTTGTTTTATTTTTTTTTTTAATATTAAAAAAATTAAATGACTGATCATAATTAATGGTGTGCTTGCAAATAAAATAGTATACAAACCTCGGAGGAAAGTTTTCATTTCTGTCTTGAGATTAATAGTCACTATATAAATCTCTCGACAGTAATGAAACACTTCCCTACTCGATATGTAATATACTATTACTCTGTGTATTGTAAGTGTATAGTTTTCTTATGACGTGTAGTCTGGCGTCTGAAAATGGAGCAAAAAGCATTTCCAAGTTTATTCTTGAGGCAGTTGAAGAGGCCAAGGAAGATCTATTACCTTCAAAGTCCAAAAGACTATGAAAAAACATATAGGGACTTTATTTCGTGATGTGCCCAACATGGTATCAATGAGCAGCAGTACTTTGTAGAAGAAACTGTCCTGGCATAAACATTAATGAAAAATGCAATAAAAAATAAGCCATCCACCCTTTGGAGATATTACTCAATGTTGAAGGCAATTTTAATTTGAAAGTTGATTGAATTTTATTATTATTGCTTATTCCATTATTCTTATTAATTGGAATAAAGCTTGTTTTGTTGAACAAAGTTGATATTTTTTGGACTAAGCAATAGAAATGCAAAAGGTTCAAAAAATTGAGTCCAATTCTTGTTTATTTTTGGAATTTTAGAACTTTCAGGCCCGCGGGCATAAAAAAGGCGCCCTAGGGCGTAAAAGTACTACTTCACGCTCTAAAATGCGGGCGTAAAAGTGCACTTTTACACCCGTTCGTGCATAAAAGAATATACAGGGTATCCCACCGGGAACCAAATTGATCTACACCATTTCCAAATCTAAAGCCGGCTACACATGGTCCGGCAGGCCTGTCAGTTCGAACTGAACAGTTCGCCTGAAGGCCGGCAGCCGGATGGACTGATGACCCTCCAAATGTTCAGGCAAATCTGATTTATTTTTCGATCATCACGGCCTCTACTGACGACGACGCATTATAAGCACTTTTTGATTTAGGGCCGGTTTATTCACCTTCTGATAAACTGTCAGGTATACACGCCACTACTTTCTTGCCACGGTCGTAAAATTTTCTCGCGATAAATTCCTCCAAACACATTTTTCTATTTCACGCGACATGGCGTAACACGTTCACTATTGAACTATCTAAACTGACAGTTGACCGAGCCATACACACGTTAAGACTTGCCTTTGAGTACGTCAGGCAGGCCGGATGGACGAACATATTTTTGATTTTTCTCCGGTCGCCTGAACAGGCTTAACTGACAGATCGACCGGATTATATACACGTTCAGGCGACCTGTCTCCAGTTGGACTGTTCAGTTCGAACTGACAGGCCTGCCGGACCGTCTGTAGCCGGCTTAAAGCCGGCTACACACGTTAGCCTGAACGTGTATATAATCCGGTCGATCTGTCAGTTAAGCCTGTTCAGGCGGCCGGAGAAAAATCAAAAATATGTTCTTCCATCCGGCCGGCCTGACGTACTCAAGGCAAGTCTGAACGTGTGAATGGCACGGTTGACAGTCGGAGCGTCAGTTATAGTTCAGTAGTGAGTAGTAAGCTCGTTACGCCATGTCGCACAGAATAGAATCGAAATTTATCGCGATTTATCATAGCGAGTCGTGTTTCTGGCAAGTCAATTCGAAAAAATTTCACGACCGTGACAAGAAAGAATCTGAAATTGGTAGAAAAATGGAAGGAAATCGATCCTTCTTGTACAAAATCTACTCTGTTCTCAAAAAAATTGATAGTACTTACATGATGATTGAGACTGAAGAATATTTCAGGTTTGCCTGAACATTTGGAGGGTCATCAGTCTCCCCGGCGACCGGCCTTCAGGCTAAAGGTACCCATTTACTTACAGTTTGCCCGCAGTTCTAGGACTGTACGATCTGAACTGAAGATTTGAACTTTCTCAGGCCACACACCATTCAGTTTTCTGAAACGATGCAACCTCAGTTTTAAGACTGTCAGTTTTTGAACTGAAGGAAAACTGAGCTTTCGCCACACATACAAACATTTTGTCAGTGCTAATCGAACAGTCTCGCTGTAGTGGAAAATGTTTCGTACTAAGAGAAAGAAACAACTAGCCGCACTTCTTGTACTATTATTATTGCAAGAGCCGATAACAAAGGCAAACAAACGTTTTTGGGTAAAAGATTGGCTGTTACAACGTGATACTTTATCTCATATGAGACTTGTGCGAAAATTAAGAACTAGTGCAACAGAAGACCTTAAAAATTACCTTAGAATGGAAGACGCATGTTTTAAAGAACTCTTAAGCTTGGTTAAGCCGTTAATATTAAAGAAAAATTCTAAAATGAGAAAAGCAATTACAGCCGAAGAACGTTTAATAGTGACGCTCCGATATCTGGCAACGGGGCGAAGTTTGGAAGATTTGAAATTTTCGGTAATAATTTCTCCCCAAGCCCTTTTTTTTCGTATGCTTTGTTTTTTTCGTGCCTATTTGAGTATGACTTGCTCTTTACTTTCCAAAGACAAGGCAATTGCCTATAAATATCAATAAACTCGGTTAAAAACTCTGTATTATTGCTTGACTCTGTCATTTCACAAAATTGGAATCATGAAAACTTCCAACCAGTTTGAAGATGGGATCGTACGATGACGATTTTTCTCCATACACTCTAGTCCGTCGTTAGATTCAAGTAAACTGCAGGCTCAGACCTGTCGACGGCCTGAACGTGTATGGAGAAATTTTAACTGACGATATGCAAATCGGCAGTACTGGACTGCAGGCTAACTGTAAGTGAATGGGTACCTTAACGACGGACTAGAGTGTATGGAGAAAAATCGTCAGTTGATATCGTACGCAACGGCGCCCGCAGAATTT